CCAGAATCAGTTCTTCTCTTTAATGTTTTAATTGCCAGTTTTCAAGTTTCCTTGCATCTTTTCTCATTTCTTCAAACTCTTTCCATATCTCTTTGCATCTGGGCCAGCTCCCTTTTGTTTTTCCTTTACTGCTTTTCTATAAAGCTCATTCTTTTCCTATGAAGGTAAATCAAAAGTTGATTCATCCAACATGTTTATAACATGTTTTTCCTGTGCAAAAGCCTTTTCCCAGATCTGTTTTCTTCTACATCTTTTCAGCAAACGCGTCTTTCAGAAAGCAGACTATTTTCAGGCGCCCCGCCTCACCTTCCATCTCCTCTCCTTCTCTCTCTTTAGTCATCTTTGAATGAGGTGAGGCACAGCCAGGGTTTTTTTTTTTTGCAACAATATGTTAGTAGAATCAGGCTCTTTGATCTTAAGCTGAAGGGCAATAGGATACAGACAACTTTCAGACGAATCTCCAGTTTCCAGCAAACTAGTATTTCATGTATCTTTACTGGATGGGGCCTGAATTAATTCTCTTCTTCTCCAAGTACTTGACACTCTGAGTATAAGTGATTTTATTTCTGAACAGCTTGAAGGACTCTTTCTTACTTTTAGAAGTAGAGTACAGAGACTCCTTAGAGAGCAGATTCCACCCTGGCCCTGCCTCCACCTCTACTTGAGATGAACCTCACATGCTAAGATCAATGCAACCTCCTTTCCCTCCTCCTGGGAGAAGGGGGATGATGATGGAGGAGGCACAGTGACACAGCCTTGTCCCACATGCAGAGAAGCTCCTGAAGAGGAGGGAATGACCGTGTGGGTGACACACCGCCCGCCCCTCCTGCAGGCTGGCCCTGAATCAGTTTTTGCAGTCTGGAAATGAATGAGTCCTAGCTTTTTTCTCAATTCAACCCATTCACACTTAATTAGAGATAATTCCTTAAAAGGCTGCCAAATTATTCACTGGAGACCTTAGTTTCTAGTTCAATAGTAATGTTGCAAATTTTTGTGTGCTTGGATTTATTTTTCACTGAGAAGACTCTCTGCCTTCTCTGGGCTGCTCTGCTTATTGAGGACAAGCTCACATTTTCCTGAAGGAAGCATGGGTCCCGAGTCGAGGAATGATGGAAAGTTCCACAACACTCCGTAGAGAGCCCGGACCTTACAACACAGCTCCAGTGGGATGATGGGATTCACCTTGCATGAAGAGACCCCCAAGGCTGGGCCAGCCACGGCCCCATCCCCACCACTCCTGTCTACTCCTGTGGCTTAGCCATACTCAACCACGTTTGATCACCCAATGGATCAACATTCTCCCCCATGTTTCTGTCTTTGAATGATCCACTCCCTCCATCTGGCATTCCATTCCCCTCTTCCCGCCCTGGTAAAGTGCTGCTGAGTCTTCGTGATGTGTTTCAGGTGGCTTCACCCCCATTCCCTGACAACCCTCCTCCTAAGACTCTCCGCAGATGTCTGCAGCGGGCACACGATCAGGGCCATGCAATCATCTACCGACTTGCATATTCCCCATTAAAGCGAGAGCTTTTCAACAGCGCCTTGTGTGGCCCCAGCTCTGCAGCAACCTGCAGAGGAGGTGCCCGATGACAGCTGGGCCTACTGAGTGAAGACAAGAATGTGAAGATTGAGCCAGCCCTGATGGGCTAGTGGTTAAAGTTGGGCATGCTCTGCTTCAGTGGCCCAGGTTCAGTTCCCAGGTGCAAAACCATCCCACTCGTCTGCCAACAGCCATGCTGTGGTGGTGGTTCACATAGAAGAACTAGAAGTAATTACGACTAGAATGTGCAGCTATGTACAGGGGTTTGGGGAGGAAAAAGAAGAGAGAGAGAGGAAGATTGGTGACAGATGTTAGCTCAGGGTGAATCTTTCCCAGCAAAAAAAAAAAAAAAGTGCTAACATTAAACAAAAGAGAATGTGAATATTTACCATCAGTTGCTACACTTCAAAGTAGCCAGCTTTTTTCAGATCTGAGTATACAATGGCAGACCATCACTATCAGCAACATAAGCGAGTCTAACATATATCAAAACTAAAGTTTCTGATAGTATTTATTAAATTTTAGATGACATCCAAATTCATCCAAACCGTGCTCATATTATCTGAGACCTGTTTGCCTCAGGTCTTCTTAATTCTTAATTCTTAATCAACAACAGATCAGGGGTGCTGTAACGTTAATAGCCTCACAGGTCACCTGCCCTGATATCTCTACCCACTGCGACCTCTAACACAGTTCCACAAAAGTAGACTTACTCAAAACCGCTTTCTAGTGTCACATTCTTTAAGCTCATGATACAAATTGCCATTGTCCTTAAGCAACGCCGCATACCCAACATTACTCCAAGAACGATTATTACACAAAAATTACTACCTATCCAAGAACGGAAAATGAGCTTAGCCGCTAGCCCTGTTTAAAATGAAGGGGTTTGACTCATTTTTCTGGGTTCTCTTGGAGTCCTGACGGTGCTTCTTTGATTAAATGAAGGATGATCAGTAAACTATATCTATGATTTTGAGGTCATTTACCTACTTCTGAATATAACAATTTATAACAAGATTGATCAATTTAAAATATCAGTTATATAATATATTTCTACATTGTATATTATTATATTATATACAATATACATATTTTATATTATAAATATATAATATAATATAAACATAAATTAAACATAACATTTAAGTTTATTCATAATAGGATATAAAAATGTAACAGCAATTTTTAATAACTTTTAACAATATATCTGAAAATTTGCACATAAAATATTTTAATAAAGTTATATTGTCTCATTAATTTCAGTAAAATTGAGACAATGTAATTTTTAACTGACTCGTAGTTTCCACCACCTTCCTTCTTTACTTGCTCCCTCTCCCAAGTTCTCTGTTAAGCAGTTGATAACATACAAACAACCCCTTAAATGTGTTCTTTGGACTAAGGGACAATTAGTACAGTCAGGAGTCACTTTACGATGGGGATACGTTCTGAGAAATGCGTTGTTAGGTGATGTCGTCCTTGTGGGAACGTGATAGGGTGACTTACATAAACCTAGATGGTGTAGCCTATGGCCCAGCTGAGCTGTGTGGTACTAATCTTATGAGACCGCCGTTGTCTATGCGGTCTGTCATTCACTGAAACATCATTATCTGCATGCTTTCCAGAGTACTAATTTCTGAGAATTCTCCAACTTATCAAAAAATCAAACTTTTCATGAAGCAAGTCAGAAATGTCCATCTCAAAACAAATGCATCAGGCTGTTATTAAATAACCTTTGGAGACAGATAGACTTCTCCCGAAAAGATAAGTAAAACTCTAAGTGCTACATTCTTAAGTCCAAGAAAAAAAAAATGCAGAGATTTGACATCCAGTAGGCCGGGTTAGAATTAATGGTTATTCTATTATCGTTTGTATTAGTAAAAAATATTATTTTATTTTGTCATTTAAAATAGCTTACTCAAAAAATCAAAAGCTAAAATTAACACAAACCTGCTTTCAATAAAGTGTGAAATGTTTGCTACACAATAGTAAGTAAACAATATCCACTTGAGAGAAAAGCTATGATAAGTTGCCATAAGCTCCTTCAACTAAACAGATATTCAGCGTGTTCACAGTATGAATTTTCTAAGAAGAGGATTAAGGTAGACTGCAAAATGTCCATATGATATTCCAAGAGGAGCCGAGGGAAGGAAAATTCACTCCAAGATTCTGTTGGAACAGTTGAACTACTTTCACTATTTTTTAAACCAAATTTGCCGATCATTTTGGTGACAGTTATTGCCAATGCATTAGGAAAATAAAATAATATTCTTTCATAAACCAAAAGAGCCATTTAAAACTTTGGAATCCTTGTATAATATATGCTATCTAATCATCTTTTATCATCATTAAACTAAGTAGGAAACATGATCATCTTAGTGTAAAATGTTTATAAATGTATGTATGTGTGTGCAATGCTCATTCAGATTTTAATAACTGAGTAATGCATAATTATAAGGACAGAAGGCATGTTTCAGTCAGGAATCATTAAGGCCTGTGAAAAACACAAATAGTTGAGTTGTTCTTCCTGAATCATTTCCAAACAAGATCCATAGCCAATTAGAACACATAAGGTAGGCAAACAGAGAAGAAAATAAATACATCTCCTACACCAGCACTGCGTTACCCACAGGCACTCACGCACCCTCATGACTAAACTGTACAGACACACACTGAGACAAACTTGGGAGGTAGGAAATTACAGGAAGATAATGTAATTCTGAAGTCATAAAATATTCCACAATGGAAGGTGTTGCAAGATAATTTTGGCAAGAGGAACATTTGCTTTTATAACATGATCATGTGTTAAGGTGATTCTAAAAATCAATTTAAAAATTCATAAGATGATTTTATTCTCCTGTTACTATATAGGTTTATTACACAATCTTTCATCCAAGGCTGATTTCATGAGAATCTCTTCCAGGACAAATGTTCTTTCAGGTCACTAGACTCCAAAGATAGAACAAAATCCATCTTCCAAGCAGTATATTTTTATAGACCATTCCCAATATCACCCCCGATGTGAAGATAAAATTCACGAAAATCATACGCGTGCCTGTGTCCTGCGGACGAGGGAGCTTTGCCGCATGCACTGCACCCCACACAAGCAATATTTTTTTAACAAGTTGCCTGATCAATTAGTGCCCCCATTAAGAGCTATCAATCAGTAGATTTGGTCCAACTCTAAAAATAGAGCACCAAAAATACAACTCTATGCATATCCCATCAGCCAACTCTTCATCTTAAAACAGATTCTATACTCCAAAAGCACAGTGAATGAGCCACCCCAAACTCAATTTCTTTATAAAAAAGAATCATGCCTGTGAGAAGAAATTATATTTTACTGAAAGAATTGTTTCAGTAAAATGACAAATGTAGTTTTCATACCTAAAACTAACTTGTAGCTCAAGCAAAAAAAATAAATAAATAAAAAGCACATTGTCACCACTATTTGGGCACCAACCTGGTATAGGCTGAGGTGTTAACACCATTGTGGGAAGAGGCCTGGAGGCAGGAACTGGCCTGGACAGGGACATAGAGACTTGATTTGCCAACAAATGAGGCTTCTCATGCCCATGGAGCCATCTTGATTCCTCGGGATATATCCATGTTGAGTCCAGGGCAAAGGAATTATTAAAAAAGATCTGTCCAAGAGGAAAGCAAGTATAACATTTAAGACAGCTAAAGACTACTATAAAATATTCATCTTGTCTTACATGGATCAAATATTGGAGATCCTATAAGTAGGGAGTCTATAAAAGCATCATTCCACAACTTAAAGATCCATGTGGCTCCAATACCAATCATCTTCTAGTTAAAGTTATCTGGGCTGGTCTTCAACTACTGACTTGGTTAATTCAGCCCAGCAGCCAGTTGACAGATTAGGAATCACCCCAGCGAGAGCAGCAGTGTGGTCTAGAAAGAGTCACCACTTTACTTATTTATACTTTTCAAGTAAACAAAGTGTAGTCGGTAAATTTGAATTCAAAAGCCAAGATAAACCATCAGAAAGGTGAACACCCAAAGCAATAATAGCAAGAAAAACTTGCTTTTAGAATTTATACCTGAATAATATGATGTTTAAGTTTAGATATTCATCAATGGTTACAAATTTAAACTAAAAAATTTAAACAGTAGATTCTGATTCAGAATTGTAAATTTTATATTGTTCTATGCAATCCAAATTCTTTAAGCTAAAACAAAATGATCCCCTCCCCATCTGCTAGTGTTTTTGAACAGACAGGCCTTACTCTGAAGGGATTTCCCTCCACAATTACATGGCCCACCACTGCAATTAGAATGTGGAAAATACATGTTGTTATGGAAACACCCAGAAACCTAATAATTAAAAGTCCGTTTATCCAACTAAACCATTTGCATTTTTACCTTACAATTAGGTATCCTTTTGTCTATCCAGCTTTTCCCAATAGGAGGTGGAAGAGCAGATGGGCAGAAATGTGGGAAAGTGGGCACCAACTCCACAGTGGAAGGTGGGGACAGTCCTATCGATGGAGAATGGCCACCAAACAGCCACTGAAACCCAAGAAAAGAGAAGAGAGTTCTCATTAGCCTACATCAATCAACTCTAATTTGTACCAAAAGATGATGGGGTAACTTTTTTACAAAGGGAATTTAAAAATGTATGCATTTGATTATGAGAAAAACTCTCCCTTTCCCCAGTCAAGAAAAACCATAAAAGTTTATCATTTAAATTTAAAATATAAATTTAAAAATTAAAATATAAGTTTAAAAACACACAAAAGTTTTCATATCTGAATCATCACAAAGCATTACCAACATTACAGTCTGTAGTATCGAGAAAGAACCTCTAAGCACAAAACCATGAGATCTTAGTGAGAAATGGGCTTCTGCTCTGAGATAATGAGAAGCCAAGATGGAAAGGTGAAATGCGGGGTGTTCCCTTTATAGTTCTTGAATTCTTTTCGAGAGCAAGAAGAGAGCTATATTTCATGATGATCCTTTTAATACAACATTTTGTATTAAATATACTTATTTTAAAAGCAAATATGACTAATAATAAAACTAGCTAAAGGGTTAAGATTCAAAGTTCCCCAAGGGTCACAAATGCAAACAGATTCCAAGTCAAGGAACATGTAGGTTGGCTTATCACGTAACTGAAGATCCAGTGCACAGACTGGAATAGCAAACGCCAGACGAGGCAGGCAGTTCAGGAGACAGTCTCCCGAATGCAACACCTGAATCTCCATCAGTGGGGAACTAATAAGATCATTGCTCAGTGACGTGGAACACTTCCCTATCTATTTGTTTTAAAATCATAAAAGTGTTTTTTATTTTCCTGTTATGTGAAAATGTTCTTCTGGTTCTAAATATTGTTATTTAACAGAAAATATGTAGCACTAAAATATTTAAAAGATTAATACTAAGTTCCTTGGGTTTTTCTTTTTAAATTTACACGAGAAAGAAATGCAGTGTTCTATACAAAAAAAGAGAAAAAATGTAGTTCCTTGACATTATATACCTCTAGTGGTGGCACTCTGATATAACAACCCCTTCAAAAAACTGAAAAAGCTACCGTTTATTCATAAAACCCCATATCAACTCCATCACACGTCAAAATGCAATGTCCGGTATCACATATGAGATGTATCATTAATTCTAGAGACTAATTTAGGAGGAGTTTAACAACATCTTTTAGAAATGCTCACAATATTGGAATTAAATTAATTAAATGCTGTATTCTAACATACCGCTCATTTGAATATGCTAATGAGGACAATCCTTGGAATAAAATACATTTTACTCCCTGATTTAAATGCATCTGCATAGTTAGACAGCAAACAATGGATCTTGCCAAAACCAGCCTGTGTTGCTCTGTTGCACCATTAATCAAAGGTGCAATCACTTTTTATTTTTAATCCCAGGTTTAAACGCCAAACTCTTCTGAAGTCCAATACAGCATTGGCTAATTTGGCAGGCCCAGGCAGACGCAGGCTGCGGGGGAAATCACCGGTAACATTTCTCAGTATTAAAGGCAGGATTTCCCTGCCGGCTTCCATTGGTTTGAATTTTCTTAAGCATTGTCCTGAGTCTATTTTCAAATGGGGAAAAAAAAAACACCCAGATCAGAATCAGAAATAGCTATTGATTCCCAGCTTGCTTTTCAAGTCTGGCAGAGACTGTAAAAGTATTAACTTCTCTGCAATAAGTCGGCCACGGTACGCGGCTGCCACGCTCGGCTCCAGCGGCTGCTACTTCAGCACCGCGCTGTGGACAGCGACCCCGGCCCAGGCGAAAGTTGCCGCCAGGAGGTCCCGCTCTGGCCTTGGGGTGCGGGTCTCCAGACCGCTCAGCTGAGAGATCGGGAGGAAATACCGCAAAAACTGCCGAAGGTAGAACGGGACGTCGAAGCATGAACTTTGTTGCCAATGCATGGCTGCCAGCCTGCGCCCTGATGGTTTGGGGAGCCTAGGGCCACCGAGGGAGGAAAGAGCGCGAGCCACAAGGCCAGAGACCCCTGGGACGGGCGAGGGCCGCGCCCAGGGTCAGGAGGGGAGCCGGCGACCCCGAGCCCGGGGCCGGGGACGGGAGACACGTTACCTGCCCGTGGAGCACGGGGTAGTGATGCACGGCGGCGGCGGCGTGGTCTGGCGCAGAGGGCAGCGGCAGCAGCGGCAGCAGAGGCTCGCCAGGGGCCGGCCAGCCCGGCAGCCCCGGGAGCAGCGGAGGGGCCGGGGGCTGGGCCGATGCGAGCAACAAGGGTCGGGGCGCGACCCCGGTGCCCAGCCGGAGCAACCCGGCCGAGCCGGGGACCATCCAAATCCAGGGTGGCGGCGGCTGCGGGTCTGCATTCATCGGCCAGAGGAGATGCTGCCGCCTCCGGGGTTGCTGCTGCTGCTGCAGCTGCCGCCGCCGCCGCTGGAGCCTGGCGCCCACCAGCATCCTACATCCCCGCGCGAGCGGCGGCGGCGGGGGCGGCAGGCGCCCGAGGTGCGGGCCGGCGGCGGCGCGGGCTCCGGAGCGAACTCACTTGGTTCCGCGGCGCGGCCGCTCGCTCCGCCCCTGCCCCGCGCGGGGAGCCCCTCCTCCCGCCCGCCGCCCTCCCCTCCGAGCGCGGCAGCCCGCGCCGCGGCCGCCCCCGGGCCCGGCCCGGCCAGCCCGCGCCCCCGGACCTGGGCCCCGGCCCCGCCCGCCAGCGCTCCCTCCCCCGCCAGGCCGGGCCCCGCGCGCCCGCGCACTGGACCCCCGCGGCGGCGGGCGGGGAACGGAGGAGGGGCTCGCGTGCCGACGATCCCGCGGATCGCGCCCCCGGGCTCCGGAGCGGCCGCGGGAGGCAGCCGGCTCTCGCGGACGGTGCGCACGGCGGGTGAGGCGCGCACAGCGGGGCCCGGGAGTCAGAATCCACGCGCAGAAGCGAGCAGAGGCCAAGGTGGCGGCGCCCAAGTCGGGGACGTCCCGCCGCCGGGCAGGGCTGTGGCCGCCAGCGGGGACCACTGTCTGCCTGGCTTAACCCAGGTCAAGGGCACCGGGCCGCGAGGGGATGCTGGCTGCAGACCCCAAAGCCAGGAGGGCATCAATTGCCGCTGGGGACGGGTGGATTTCTCTGACAATCTGACAAACACTTCCCTACGCCCTCAGTGGGCCCTCTGTCCTTGCAGCCCCTACCCCACTTCCCACTAATCCGGAGCAAAGCCCCTCGTCTCCGGGCCTTTGCACAGGACGTCCGGTTTTAGCTGGGATTGCCCAGTGAAAACTCGTCCTGGATTTCCCCAGGCACAAAACTGCACTTCTTCTTTACCCACCGCTCGTGGCCTCTGCCGTGCACCCTGAGCTGCCAGGGGCCAAGGACGGACCCCTTTTTCGAGGACCCTCCTTGAACTCAGAGCACAGTCCGTGCCTGCAGAGCCGAGCCTGACTCGGCGCTGGCCACTCGCAGTCACCGCCAGGCGGCGCGCTTCCCAGCCGCTTGCGCCGACCTCCCTCCTGCGGCAGACACTGGTCCCCGGGACGCGCAGTCTCCTCCTTGTGTTGTTCTGCCAGAAACGTCAGCTCTGAGACCTAGCCCAGCCCTGGGCACTTCGTGTGAGAGGGGAATGGAGACTCGCCTATGCTAATAAACTCTTTAAGTCTCTAAGCCCGAGAAGCCTAGCTACAGGCAACAGCAGGGCAAGCCCAGTGCGTCTTAGGGGCGTTTGGTGAAGGGGCTTTCTGCCGCCTACAGCAGAAGGGGGCATTACAATGCCTGCGTTCAAGAGCTTGTATGAAAAGCTCCCCCGACCTCACCTGACCAGGCCCCTCACACCCACAGACATGCCTGGGGCTCTCCAGACACCGCTCTCATCACCTCTCAACTGGTCCACGACCACCCTCCTGGGAGAAACTAAAGCCCAGAGCGCCTCCAGTTTGCTTCCAGGGTTGTTTCCTCCTTCTCCTCATTTGCTTAATTTCCTCCTGGCCCGGCAGGATTTCTTTTAGATCCAGGCATATGCTAATTTACATAGTTGGCGTCTCCATATTTTCCTTCACGCAAGCCATTTTTCAATTAGCAAGTTTCTCTGTCTTTGATGCAAAAGTCCTGGCAAGATTTTGTTTTTTTTCTCACCTAAAATCAGAAAGCTGTGCAGATTAGAAGCCTGTTACTATTCAGCTTAAGCCCTTAATTCATGTGCATATATTTGTATGTGCTCGCACAGGATACAAGTGCCTTGATTTCCATGGTCACAGCCAGACTAAGGCATTGGGGCAGTTGTCTTTAGGCAGGCTAATGTGGACCCCTTAAAGGGTCCTGTCTGAACAGGAGTTACTCATCCTTTCTCCATCGTTTGGAGGCTGGGGACGGGGGACCAGTAGTGGCAGTGCCCAGCTTGCAGGCTCCTCTCAGCAAAAACAAAGTGCTCCATGCACTGACCCCAGGCTCCCACAAAGGCAGGGTTCAGCCACGATCTGTGGGTGCTCTGGCAGGTACTTTGGGAGGACACTCACCCCATTCCTACACAGCACTGTCCTTTGAGTGGTTCTGCTAAAGTCATTTTTTGTCAACTGGTGATATTCATTCCTTCCGTGGGCTTTCCAGTGCCCTGAGTGCACCATGCCTTGGGCAACTGCTTGACTCTGAACAAGAGCTGGAAAATCAGAAGCAACATTCACTCAAAGAACCTCAAAGAAGCCCAAACTCCTTTGCCATTTCCTGCCACAGGCTTAACTGTCTTCACTTACTACAGTGCTTTGTACCCCTTTTCCATACCATGCTGTGTGCTGAATTCTGGGGACATGGCCAAGGACAACACCGATGCAGAGCAATTTCCACTAATTAATTAATTCATACGACAAGGGACCCAGGAGATGGCTTATCTCCCACTTCCGACTCTTGTTTCTATCGGATTCATCTCAGGGATTCCCCACATACCCTGCTTAACCCAGGAACAACCCTCCACGCCCCAGGATAGAAGTCTCCTTGTAGACTCTCTCATTCCAGTGGGTGTTGGAGAGGACTCTCCTGAAGCAGGAAGCCTTGTGCTCCTGGAGAGCCTGAATCAGGAGACCTCCCACCTGTGGGTGGAGGCTCCACGCAAGGTAGACCTGTGCTGCTAGTGGGCACCTGGGGAGGTCAGCCCTGGGCAGTGCACGTGGCTGGCATCCCATAAACTCAGGCCCTTGATCTCCCTGTAAAAATCAGTGAGAAATTTTCTTTAGAAAGGTTTCTATGTACAATCTAGTCTCAAGTTCTCCTAACCAATAAAAACAACCTTAAGTCTGTTCATATTATTCAGGCAAAACCAGCAGAAATTTCCAGGTAAGGTGAGACAGAACACCTAACCAAAGCAAGATGAGCCCACACCAGGAGAAATGTGAATTATCTACATACACTAGTGAGCTCAGAATTGTTTATTACCTTTCAGGAGAAAATAATGTCGTGTGTTAGGGAGAGATCAATGAAATAAGATTTTGTAGCCTGTAAAAAGTTTTTTTTTTTAAAGTTATTTCACTCTATTTTTCTAAGTAAAATGTAAAAGAATCCAAAAAAGAAAGCGAGGGAGAAGGATGAAAATGCTTCCTTCCAGGCCTGCAGATTTAAAATAAGCCCCAGGAGAACAGAGGGAGGTGGAGGACCGAGATGTCACCTCGGCAGCACCCTGCCCCTCCCACCTGCCCACACTGCCAGAACATCTTTCCAAAACAAATGCTGATCCGACCTGGTCCTTCCCAACTGAAAACTCGCCAACTGTGAGATGATGAGGCCCTGGATGAAAGCCACGAAAGCAAGCCACCGCCGCGGGAGGCTGGCGTGTTCAGGAGGAGGAACTGGTGGTTTGCTACCTGACTCAGTGTTGGGGGAGAGGAGAGGGTGCAAGAGCGATTTCCAAAGCTCTGTTGAACCTGGGAGTCCACGCAGCTCTCGTCCCCTCCTGGAGATGAGGGGCCTTTGCCGAGGAGCAGCCAAGCAGAGGTGATGGCTTTAGACATGATGACCTTGAAGGCACCAAGGGACACCTGGAAAGATCCATCTATATCACAGTTGGAAACTCCAGTCTGGGGTTCAGGAGCAAAGTCTTGCATGGGGCTACAGAACCGGAATTAGAATTACAGAACAAGAATTGAGAGAGACAGCTGTCTGTATTCCCTGAGATCTCAGATGTGGATGGGGTCACCCTAGGCCATTCACGGGTCCAGTGATGGGGAACGAAGCTCCCTGGGAAACACAGGGAGGTAAACCGAGGCAGGCAGTGGCCACGAAACCATCCTGGATGGGCAGGAGTGTGCTTGTTTCATAAAGGGTATTATTATCATTCTTCCTATAAACGTGTTACCATAGAATATCTGGAAAATACAGAGAAGCATAATGATTCAAGCCCACTCAGGGAAAAGGAATATGAAACATCCTTTTGGTGACCTCTCCTGCACAGTATTTTTTTATTCTCATCTCTCCATATATATAATGTGATAATACATATTTTATATATTATATATAGTGTATAATATTTCATTTTATATTAAGCTGCATTTTATAATAAACAGTTTTAATTTCTCTTGTACTATATATAATTTTAAATCTTATTTTTCACTCAGTATCTTAGCAGGAACATTTTCCCACATTAATAAAAATTCTTAGAGGAGCCCACTTATTAATAGCAGAGCAAACCCCTCAATGAAGACAGTTAGAAGTTAAGGTACATGTGCCCCTAACGGGAATTCAGTAGCCAATTGTGGGACAACAGGGGTATCCCACTCAACAGCCTGTCACACACTTTGTAGTTATGAAAAACTGCCTGCCTACCTACCTATCTATCTACCTACCTATCTGTCTGTCTGTCTGTCTATAAGATGTATGTAAAATGTCCCCAGGTGGCTGTAGGAGGCTCAGTTCCCTGGATGCTCAAGACCAGGCAGAGGCCCCTTGGTGGGAAGCAGGCTCCTCCCCCTGTCTACACCCTCTGCCCTGCCCGGAGGCACTTCCCAAATGTGCACACTGATCCCTGGTCATCGCACACATGTGCCTCTTGGTTGAGCTCAGCTGAGAAGCCCTGGATGGCAGGAACCAGGCCTTTTTCCTTCTCTCCCACAACGCCTAATAAGAAATTAATAAATGCTCAGTGAATAGAACAGAATTCTCTCACTGCTGGATGGAAGTCCCAGCCCAGGGTCACCAGCAGGCCCATTACTGAGCCCCAACTGGATACAAAGACAGACCTGCCACGTGACCATGTCCCGCCCAACAGACGGTAAATCTGTGAGGGCTTTGCAGGCGGTGTCCTGTATAAAGGTGCCCAGCCAAGGGGAGGGGAGCGCTGGGATCCAGCCAGGCCATCTGCCAAGCCACACACCAGGCACAGGGATATGTCCACCCAGAGAGTCACCTTCCAGAATCCACACCGAGGCAGCTTGGGTGCTCGGCCCTAGAGAATGACACTGAGTGAGACAGATGTCCCTCATGAAGCTTAGAAGCCTGGAGGGGGGAGTGACAACACCAAACATGCGAGCATAAAGAGCAGTGGCCCCTGTCTGTC